CTGTTCTCAAGCCCACAGTGTATGGGCGAGACACAGGCTCACGGACGATGAGTTGCGTGATGTGAGGGAAGGGGGTGCATTCGAGAATGCTTTGAAAGAGGTGATGTCAGAGCTAGATGGATGTAATGGCTGAGTAGGAGTTTTCCAGATTGTTGAATCCCCCTGGAGGTTAGAAGAGAGAGCAGCCATCAGCGGTGGTGTGTGTGGTGTGGGGAGCATTGCGGGGACCCTGCCTGGTGGATGCAGAGGTGTGAGCTGTAGCCTGTCCTTCGGGAAGTCCCACCTCTCTTGCTGTGGGATGGGGGACCATCTTGCAACTTGACCAAGGAAGTCCTTTCCACGTTTGTAAATAAACTCATTTTTGGAATAAGGGACTTTTCCTTTCTCTCAGAATCCAGCGTGGTGTAAGTTCTGTTTTCAGCAAATTGCTTGGGGTTCAAAACCTGCCCTCAGCTCCAACGACAGTCATGGGGTTCCAGGGAGAAGAGAGTCCTGTACCCGTTGCTTGTGACTTTGGACTTGGCAGAGCCTGGGTGCTTGGTGGGAGTCTTATTTTCTTTGATTTTGGTCTGTCTGGAAAGTTGTGGAAACCTTCATGTGTTTTCTGGGGAACCCCACAAAGGGGTCCATGTGGAGTGCATTCCTGGGGATTTCCTCAGACGTGAACCGAGCCCAGTCAGAACCGTGGCCTCGCAGGAGAGCTTTCTGGGACTCGCTGGTGGGCGATGCAGATCAGAAAAATTAAGGACTGCGTCAGAATCATTTTCTGAAAGGGTTCTCAGTGGATACGGCATCTTGATTTGCAGATTTCTTGTCAAACTTGAGTATATTCTCTTTGACTCAGTCTTTGAGTCTAGAAAAAGTCCAGGCTTTTTTCTCTGTCACTCTTAACTCTTCAAGTTTCTTCTTTCTCCTCTCTTGCTGCCTCCAGGCTTTTGAATTTTTGTAGTAAAGCTACTTTTCAGGTGGGTAGAAACTTTTTTTTTAACCTTAAAAGAAACTTAAAAAAAAAAAAACCAACAAAAAAAAAACCTAGGTCTAGAACAATCCAACATCACCTTGCCTTTAAGTTTTAATAACATTTACGCACTTAAAAAAAAAATTCTCAACAAGGAGGTTTTGTCTTCTGTTCTTAGAAGTTCATTTTTTTTTCTTTAAAGAATCCATTAAATTATATATTCCCTAAAACAGGTGGGCCTGACACTCTTTGATAGACTGTCAAATATCATTAAATCAGGAAAGAGCTGCTTTTGGCAGCCTTCTTCTGGCTGAGTGGGTGTTCGTGGGCGGAGAGCTGTGTGCTGCACCCCTTGACTGGAAAGGGGACCCTCTTTTTGTTGCTAATTTGGTAGAGACTGAAATGAGGCTCCCAAGTGGTGGGGGCAGATAAGTCGTTTTTTTTCAGAGCTTCGAGCGGTTGATTTCAGGCACATTCATGTCAGTCTGAGTACTCCTCCCGCTGTGTGCGGTGGAGTGGCGCAGACTAGTCTGACTCCCCACACCCAGCTGGATAACTAGTTGGCAGGTGCAGCGGGTTCTGTACTTAGGACTAAGTGTGCAGGATTCCAGCCTGGATGGACAGTCTGACTTCGAGGCCTTAACATCTGTGCCAGCACCTGAGTGGGATTGCAGGGGCCTGCAAACCCTTGGGTCAGTCCTGTCCGATGTTTGTGGGACACTGACAGAGCGCCCGGCCTTGCACCAAGCACTGTTGGTGTCTGATCTCCATTGTCCCTTACACCAACCCTGAGAAGTCGTGACTTATCCCCTTATTCCTTCCCGCCATTCTTTCAGGGTTCAGTGATGCCGTGTGCAGTAATGGTCACGGAATAGTTCTTACTGTTAGTCTCTAGAAGGAGCAGGCCCTGGGAGGGGAAGTGACTTCCCCTAGTACTTGACCGGCGTAACCACGGCTGGAAATCAGGGCTGTGTGCTTCCTGCATAGACCTGTCGTCTTTCTGGCGTGTTCTCAATGAGTGTGTCTCACCTTTTTCTTCAATATGCTGGATCATTTCAGTGGCCTTCTCTGGGGGCCCCTGCAGGGGAGCGGTTGGTGCCGGGGAAAGGAAGGCCCAGGGGTCATGGCCTCCTTTGTTTAGATGAGTGATGCTGGTACCTTTTGGCTCGAAGTTGGTGGTTGGTATGTCTGAACACATTTAGGCTTTTCTAAAAGCTTCTCCTACTTTCTTGGAACGAGAAGAAAAGGCTAGGCGAAGCTGTAATTGGTCGGTTGAACTCTTATGCTCTTAAGATGCTGATGTCCGTGTGGGCAGAGATCTCTCACGGCCAGCCAGAGAACTCTGATCCTAGCCCTTGCCCCTTTAATTACTTGGATATAGAGGTAGAAGGGGTGTTCATACTTGATAAGAAAATGGCCAATACATTAGGTGTTATAATTGGACTTTCACGCAAGGTCTGGATGGGCCTGGAATGGTAGCCAGAGCTGTCAAGGATTCATTCAACTTAAGTTAAACTAAAGTTATGCCCTCGGGTGGAAACAGCCCACTGGGGCACAAAGAGGAGATGGAGGCTATGTGGCTTAGCAGTGTGGTGGCCAGACCTGTGCGTGGGTACTGGTTGTCAGGAGCTCAGGTGCAGCTGCCAAGGGACCTCTGCCAGGAGCCAGTCAGGCAGGATGCCTGGCTCGGTGCACTTAGTGCCCCATGGGCGTGAATTGTCACTTGGGGGAAAAAATCCCGAGACCTGCAGTCAGACCAGGCAGGTCTCAGACACAGAGCTGACGGCTGTGCTCTAGCTGCAGCTGGGAGATAGACTTTAGGCTTGGGCCGGTTTGTGACTTAATTGCCAGGACCTCTAGGTTGATCTTAAAATTAAAAAAATGTATATAATGACTATTGTTTTTGTAAAAGTTATATGTGACCCTGAGTGAAAACACACACACAACAAAAACCAAAAAAAACTATGGCCATATAGGAAAATACAAACAAGAAAGCAACACATTGGTCCAAATCTTAGCTTCCAGAAATAGCCCATTTTAACTTCGGTGGACAGTTTTCCAGATAGCTCTCTGCACATTTTCAGACAGACTCGATAGCTAGAGAAATGCAGAGAGAGGCACTTTTATGATAAGATGTAAAGCAAAAATATATTTAATTATGCTTTCATTGAACAAGAGAATTGATACTTGAGTGCAGTAATACTGAAGAAATTGCTGAACAACAGATGACTGTTTCTTCACCAAAAGAAATTAGTTTCTCAGGCATCCCTTTATTTTATTTCATTTTTTTCAAGATTTTATGTATTTAAGAGAGACACACACAGAGTGAGGAGGGGAAGGGGCAGGTGGGGGAGGGACAAGCAGACTCTGAGCTGAGCAGGGAGCCCAGTGCGGAGCTCAAGCAGCCCTTTAAAACAGTGTTCTTTGTTGTTGTTGTTTAAGCTTTATTTACTTATTTTAGAGGAAGAGAGTGGGGGCATGCAAGCCCGGGAAGGGGGTGGAGAGAGAATCCTCAAGCGGACTTCCCACTGAGTGCAGGGCCTGACTCGAGGCTCTATCCCAGGACCCTGAGATCCTGACCTGAGCTGAAACCAAGAGTCAGACGTTTAACCGACTGAGCCACCCATGCGCCCCTATTATTGGCACTTTAGTGAACCAAGGTCAGGGATGGTCCCGAACCCCGTACAGTGCCCAGGACAGTCACCCACCGCAAAAGAACTGTCAGGCCCAAAACGTCCGTAGTGGCAAGGTTGAGCAACTGTACGCTAGGCTAAGAAGCTAAGACCATTCAGACCAGTACGAAGAGGAAATCATCAGGTTTTCGCTCAGTTGCCGCTGTAGCCTGTTTCGGCCGCGCTTCTGTAGCGAAAGGTGAAATGATGAACTTCATCAGAATTTCTCCCTCCTCTCCTTAAACCGCCAGCCTGGGAGGTGCCATGTGTTCTGTCCCCCACGTTAGGATTCGAGGCACTTCCTGTTTGGTCCTGCCGGTGGCACCCTCCGGGGGTGGAGTCTCAGATCTGTGTGACCGATTCCGTGCCAAACTCTATGTCTTTAGCCGTGGCTTCTCCTTCTGTGGGTTTCCCTTGCGTCCTCTCTTGCGTGGCTCCTTGATCTTAACGTGCATCGAGCGGGTCGGTGTAGGGAGGTGTCAGCCCCCCTGCTCTGCTGCCGTCAGAGTAGCACCTGTAGTTCTGACCTTGTATCTTGAGTCCCGGGCTTGAAAGCCGAGGGAGAGAGAATCTTGCTGTGTCCCCAGGACGCTGCAGGGATGTGAAACACGGTCCTGGGTTGAACATGGACTGCACGTGGGGGAAGAAGGGAAAGCTGGATGATTGTGCTTGTTTTCCTGAGTTCTTTCAAAAGACTTCCCATGGAAATGGGGTTGGGCGTCACCCTGAGGGTCCCCAGAGGGTTCAGGCCAGTGCCGCAGGGACACAGAGGACGAGGTGGCAGATAGAGTCTCCCCAGGAGGGTGTTGAGTTCCCTGTGAGCTGGAGTGTGCCGGAGATCCACATGTTGTCATGCTATCTGTAGATGCTGGGTGCAAGCCATTAGCTGGGGGGCTGCATTTAGGTAACTTCTCAACCTTGAGATTCTGATCTGTTAAGTAAAGCTTCCCGGAGGCCGCGGTCACTGTCCTGGGGAGGAGCTCCAGTCACCCTGGTTTCCTCCGGGGTGAGGGTGGGAAAAGGCACAGGTCAGGTGGTTCCTCCGGGCAGAGCATTAAATGTTCTGCATATCTTGAATTTGGACCCTCCATCTGTTCCTGAAAAAGTGATCTATCAGTGTATGTGTTAGATTCTGCCAAACTTGTTCCACCTGGCATTTGTAGTATTTACAAGATTACAGGGCCTGAGCACATTCTAAACCCGTTTCTGAGCCACGGCATTGATGTACAGTCTGGGCACCATACCCGAGGCTGCAGAGGAAGAGAGAACACACATTGTTCCCTGTAACTGCGATTGGGTGTTTTGTTATTGTCTTCATCAGATGTCTATCACAGCATGCCTCACTGATTGATGACTTTGTTTTGTTGTAGGGGAGCTATCCAGTGTGGGAAGATTTCATAAACAAAGCAGGAAAGCTACAGTCCCAGCTTCGGTAAGTAGAGAAGCTTGTCATCCCCAGAAAAATGGCGCCATCCTTAGACAAAGGATGGAGAAGGACAGCCCCAGGATTGAGGTTAATTTTGGAAGCATTACAGATACAGAAGCACTTAGTGGGTTCTCATTTGAGTACTGCCACTTCTTAGCCTTATTTCCTGACCCCTGACTCCCCTATGTAAAGCTGAACTCCCATCTGATCTGCCTTCTTCCACAGGAATTTTGAGTCAAATGAGGTATCATAGGAAGGTAGTAGTGAGCAACATTTATGTAATGCTCACTGTGTGCAGACCCATATGTTAACTTAATTAGATCTCACGACCCCAAGGGGTTAAGTACAGTTAGTATCCTCAGTTTATTGATGAGAAAACTGAGGCACAGAGAAGCTAATGGCATACAGCTAGTAAATGGCAGAGCAGGGATTTGAACCTGGGTCTGGCTGCATAGTCCATTCTGTTCACTGCCTATCCTCATAAAGAGTTTACAGCTGACTGTTGACTATCATGTAATTCCATGTGTGTGAAATATCTAGAAAACAGATCTGTAGAGACGGATCAGTGGTTGCCTGGGACTAGGGGAGAAAAAGGAGATTGAGTACAAATGGGCAGGAGAAATCTTTTGGGGGTGATGGAAATGTTCTAAAATTGGCTTGTAGTAGTGGTTGCAGAATTCTAAGCTTACCAAAAAAAATTGTTGAATCACACACCCAAAAAGGGTGAATCTTATGGTATACAAATTATGCCTCAATGAAGCTGCTTAAAAAAGAACAAGATCTAGGGCTGAGCAGCTCTAAGGGGTTCTTATCATTGCCTTGTCTTGGGCTTGCTCCTGTATCATTTGATGTGAAATAGAACATTTTCCAGCGTCTTCTTGTTACAGCTACGTGCTTTTAGTGGGGAGGGGGGCTACCCACTTCGTGGGTGCCCCATGAGGGATGGGACAATTTAAAATGCAATAATTTTCATGACTCCTGTTCATGGAGAAATGGGGGATGACATCAGCTGGTTTGGATGTATGGAGGCGGTTTTCCAGAGGGCAAAGCAGGTAGGTGCTTTCTAGGATAAAAAGCCACGTGGATGACATGACGCTCTTGGTCCTTAGCCGACGGATGTCAGGGGTTACTGCCCAGAGCTCCAGCCATAAGACGGGACATTCCATGACTCCCCTGTAGACCAGGAGAGAAGAACTCCCGAAGGAAGGATCTTTCCTCTTCCATTCTGCCAGCTTTGCAGGTGCCTGGGATTTCTATCCCATGAACTGAGGATTTCCCAAGCTGTGAGTGGTCTTCCAGATGTACAGTCGACTGGGGCATAGAGCCCCTTCTCTCCTTGTCAGATCCTTTACCATTTTGGTGCTTAAGAACGTGTACAGACTTTACAAGTTCCTATTTTTTTTTTTTTCTTTTTTAAAGATTTTCTGCTGGGCCAACCTCCTTTGTCTGAATGCAAGGCCCCGCACAGGCCTTCACCAGCCTCACCTTATCACGCTACAGCTAGTCTCCCATCTCTGCTATTGTTTGCATCTATTCCCAACAGTTAGTCTCCCTCCTACAGGAGGGCCCTCCTGGAGTACACCAGAAAGACAGTTGAGTACCCCTCCTCCACCACCCTGCCCCATTTCTTATCTGACCTCATTTAATTGAATCTGGCAGCCTTTCAGGGTTGGCCAAGGAGAAGATCCTCTCTTCCCCTTTTACCAAAGAGGAAGCTAAAACTTCAAGTAATTGTTTAGCACAGCTAATCAGTTACAATGAAACTTAGAGCAATCTTTTTTTTTTTTAAGATTTATTTATTTTAGAAAGAGGTTGTGGGGGAGGAGCAGAGGGAGAGAGAGAGAGCACGAGAGAATGAATCAGTCCTGAAGCAGACTCCCTGCTGAGCACAGAGCCTGACACTGGACTCTCTCCCAGGACCCCTGAGATCATGCTGAGCGGAAACCAAGAGTTCACTGCTTAACCGACTGAGCCACCCAGGCACCCCAAAGCCTAAAGCCATCTTATCTCCTTGGTACAAAGAACATTTTATTTCATTTTATTTTTTTTTCCACAACGTTTAGGCCTCCTGCGGACAGGGCCCATTTCTTTATTTTGTCAAACTAGGAGTCCCCAGCTGGGAGCCTCCTGCGCGTGGTTTGGTTTTCAGTAGTAAAGGAAGGGCGAGAGGACTGTAGGAGAGGCGCAGCCGCTGGGAGGAGCGGGACGCTGAATCACTGCTCGTGCTGTGGGGACTCCAGAGCAGGGATGTCTCAGGACAGCGGCACGCAAGGAAACAGGACTCATTGGGAGGTGGCGGTTAAAAGCTCCTAATTCCTCACACTTGACCGCCGCCCTCGTTTTCAGGGGAGCCCATGTAGTACACGGGTGATCGACATTGCCTTGAACGAGAATCGATCCAGCCCCTGTGTCAGACCTTAATTGTCAATCAGAATGAGCTACTTATAAATCCCAGGATGTTTGATAAAGCTAACTTTTTCAGGGCTTGCATTTGATGTCAACTCTTTGAAAAATATGCTTCTGAGGGGCTTCTTTTCCCCCAGTTTTGTTTTGTGAATGTCTTTTTTTTTTTTTTTTTTTTTTTTAAATTAGAGCAGAATATTTTCTTGCTCTACTGGGAAATACCAGGCCTCAATTCTGGAGTTTGGCGCTAAGGGAATGTGACCCAGGTTTTCTTAGGGACCACTCCCTGCACCTTCTAAAACCTTCTGTGTCAAAGCCACTGTTCGTGAGGTGTAGGGTCCTTTCTTCAGTTCCATCTTGAACTCCTTTCTTTCTAATCTTTATTCTCATATTCTTCCCTTCAACAGCTTTGCATTCTGAGGTATGCTGAGCAAAGATTAGATTCATACATGAAAAACTTGGAAATGAAGCGCATTTCACAGATTGTGAAGTCTGAGTGGGGCTGGCTTGTGTGTTCTAGCTGTCCCTGGCCCTGGTGGGGAGTGGGGCTTACCCTTCACTGGATGACATCCTGGGATCACAGCACTGGGAACCGGTAGACCACAGAGTGCTCCAGAGGATGTGAAGAACTCAAAATAATTTCTAGGACAGCAAATGACTGTAGTGACTTCTTCCTAGTCTCAAGGAATTCAGAAGATAGCATTCTAAGGTTGAAAAAATAGTCTGTTTCAGTATAAGTGGGATTTAGGGAGAAAAGTCACATAGCAAGGATCTGTCCTGCAGCAGGATGAGCACGGGACTGGGCTTCCTGCCAGCCTATCCCCTTTCCAGGTCTGAGATGAGCTGGTGATTTTGGAAGTCACACTGAGCTTGTCTCCATTTTCCCATCTCTGAAATGAATTAGTTGAAGTAGAGGCTCTCTCTCCAAGATTCCATCTCCCGGTCCACGCAGAAATGCTGTTTGCCTACCCTAAAATCAATTTCACCTGTACCGTTTATGGTTTTTAATGACGTTTTTCTTTTAGGTCAGAAACACCTGTCTTTCCTCCTTTGTGAAATTTGGCCCGGTAATTACGTCGTAGGTGGACCAGGATGGGAAGGATTGCCAGCATCTACTGACCAGCACCGAATGCGCTGGGTGTTTCTGGGAGAGCGTGCTCATGTGAGGAGGAGAAATGCCTCCTGAGCAGACAAGGGGCCCTGTGAAGCCAGTGCCTGTCCATGTCCAGCTGAGTCATTTCTCCTGGAAGGTCGCATGCCCTTCCCTGCAGAGGGGTTAACCCTCTAGCCGCAGTGAATTCATGTGGGACGTTCCTCATGCTTTTGTTCTCTGTTTGCATTTTAGGACCACAGTAGTAGCAGCAGCTGCCTTCCTGGACGCCTTTCAGAAAGTGGCTGACATGGCCACCAACACACGTGGTAAGCAGATGGAGGGACGGCTTCCAGTGCCCGCCCAAGGCAGCCTGTGGGCTCTTACCCTTGGGTGGCTTCGCGAGGAGCGACAGCTGAAGTTACCAGAGCTGCGCTGACTCATGGTTCTAACTTCCTAGAGAATGCTGGGGGTGTCCACGTATTCGAAGTTGCAGATTAGTCCTCCAGATAACGAAGCCCGTGAGAGGAAGAGTGAAAAGTAGAGAAAAGGGGGCACAGTTTGTGCAGGAGGGGCTGGAACTGGGCGCTTGGCTGCGGTTCCTCCCTCCTCCCATGGGTTGTCCTAAGGTTTTCTCTGTTCCCTTGTGGAGAGGGAAGGGGTGAGAATGATCGGATAAACCATTTTCCTGCAGGGATCGCTTGTGTAAGGCACATCCTGTTTTGTTGTATCTGTGTGTGTGGCTCCCACATTTGACTGCAGAACCCTTGAGACTATGACATATTTATGTCGGAACTCCCCCAAAACAGTGCCTAGGACATGGTGGGTGTTTAAAAGTAGGTTTATTAAATCAGTGAACAAAGGGAAATCTTGTGCAACTTTTTAATAGTTTCAGTGACTATAATAAAAACACAGGAGAAGTGTAAAGACGAAAATGCCGCTCCCATATCCACCACCATGGTCAGAAAGACAACATCCCCCTTAATGTGGAGACCCCTGTTCAAAGCAGGGGGTGCTTTCCTTTTCATTCCCAGGCAGGGACGCTCTCCTACCTCTTTTTTTGGCCTTATTTTTCTGGGTCTGCTTGTATACTGTCTGTTCATTGTCATGGTAATATTAGAAAACATGGGCTTTGGGGGTGAGTGTTGGGGGTTGCTGTCAGTCACATGAGGGTTTAGCTCCTCTGAAACACATGATGGATACCTCTGGTGGGGTTCAGTTGGTGCCCCTTTACCACTGGTGCCTTATTAAATATTCAAATGAGTTTGCCGTGAGGCTACTTCTCTTTCATTCCAGAAACTTAAGAATTGCTAGTATTTTAGATACTATTATGGGACCACAGAAATCAATATATTATTTATTCTTCTTGTCCTGAAGGGTTTGCAACTGGGGGGGAGATGTGCAAATAGAGAAATTCGGGGTAGAAGTAATACGCTTAGTATAGCAATAGTAGTAGAACAGCGTGCTGGGGGAGTATAGAAAAGTGAGCATTTAGCTCAGCTCAGGGATTCAAGGGTCTCCCATGGGAGGTAATATTTCCCCTTACTTCCAAGATGCCAGCGGTGTTTCGAAAGGTTCCCTAGGAAGAATGTGATGGAAATACCAGAGCAGTGGTTGGAAGGACTTATTCTGGTTTGTCAGCTTGTTGTGGGTCTTAACTTGTATCTTTTCTTAATCGGTTAAAAAATTCTTACATCCTCGACATTGTCCATTGTACTCTTTTCACTTGAATATTCTAAAGATTCTGTAACGTTTAAGCCAAGGATCACCACTGTCAGTGTTTTTGAGTCTGTTTTCAGATATTATCTTCTACTTCAGCAGTCTCTGGAACCGGACCATCAGTCACATTGAGGTCTTTCTAGAAGGGCCCTCAGAACGGGTCTTCCTTCAAAGAATGGCTCCACCATTTGAAAGGACAAGGGTCACGGCATTGCATTTTTGAGACTCTGTGATTCTTAATAAGATTTTTATATTTTCATATTTAATTATTGATGGGACCCTCAAGGGTGGAGGAGGGCAGCATCCCCTGAGTTCCCATAATTGCCGACAGCAGGCACAGGGGTTTCTGCAGAGGCTGCTGCCTGAGGTGGCTCTTGGTGGGAAACCGGAGGGCCTGCAGGTCTCATGGCTCCAGGGAGGACAAACAGAGCAGCTATCTGTGGGAAAAGAAACCAGAATAGCCTCTCTGTGGCCGTGACAGAGGTGAGTCGCAGCTTGGAGGTGAAGTATTTGACAAAAGACAAATGATGTCGCAGTGAACAGACCCCTGCTCCGATGTATTTTTAAACCACTTGATTTCAGGTCATTTTTAGTGATGCCAGAATAACTTTACATTTTGCGATCTTTAGAAATCCCTATGCACTGGGGGAAAAAGAACTTTCTCTCGAGTGTGAGAATTCTCACATGACCTAAAAAAGGGTATGGTTGATACAGAGAAGGTGTATTTTATAGAGGGGGTAAGAGAGAAACCCGAAGGCACTTCTTGTAGGGTCAACAAGCATCAGAAGTGATTTTTATTAAGTTATTTTTAACTTAAAAATGAAAAAACCTAGACCATGCATGGTTTTGTTGTTGTTGGTTTTAAAGATTTTATTTATTTATTTGACAGAGAGAGAGAGAGAGAGAGATCACAAGTAGACAGAGAGGCAGGCAGAGAGAGAGGGGGACGCAGGCTCCCTGCTGGGCAGAGAGCCCGATGCGGGGGGCTCAATCCCAGGACCCAGAGATCATGACCTGAGCTGAAGGCAGAGGCTTAACCCACTGAGCCACCCAGGCACCCCTAGACCATGCGTTTTTGCTTAAAATTTCATATAACAGTCTGTAAAGTAAAATCCACCCCTCCCTGTGCCCCCTTGCAGGGATTGGGTTGAGTGTCATTTGCGGATTTTTTTTTTTTGCATGTATAAACATGCAAACATTCTTTCTGGAAGGAAGAAAGCTGGTTGCAGAATGGTGTGTAGAATGGGACATGGAGTAAAGTACTTCTGGATGATCTAGAGGGGGCCCCTAAGTAATATGTTCCTGTGCTTTTACTCCACAGTATGTGACACTTCTCATGTCCATGCTTGGGGAGGGAGCTGCCTCATTCTTTCTAGGGCTCAAACGGAATTCCGTTGTCTGGATACAGCACAGTTTTAGCATTCCGCTGTTGGTGGAAATTCAGGCTATCTCCCATTTATTTGCTGTTACAAGCCATGCAGGAATTAATGCCCAGGTATACATCCTTTGGGAGATCTGTATATAATCTTTTTTAATAGTGTGTGCATCTCCACGGAAGCAATCTGGAGAAAATGCTCCAAACGGTTTTGGTCAGCGGCAAATATATTTGGACTTAAGATCATTAAAGGCTGTGACTCTGTGGTTTGCAGTTTGATATCTACCCTTTACAAAAGTCCAGTTTTGTTGTTTTGGTTTTTGTTTGTTTTGTTTAGAGCTTTGGAATGTATTTTTTGAGTCCTTCTTGCTCAAAGTGATAGAAGGCAATTCAAGTGCATCTCCTTTGGGCAGGCTTCCAGAATCTCAAGATAGCATGTCTCTGGTTTCCAAAATATTAGCGTTCCATATTGCCTCCCAAAGCTCTGAAATTCCTTTGTCCTTTTTAGCTAATGTTTCGCACTCGCTGTTAATATAATTTATTTAGGAAAAACTTTTTAAAGCTATTCACTATAAGAGCAAAATTAATGTAGTCGTCATCTAACTTGTTCAGTAGGATGTGGAAATATGTTAGAACTCTCTTTTGTTTGTTATACAAATGCATTTAAGTTGCTATTATAATGTGTGTATTTAGATGAACAATTAAAGCCTAATGGAACTTAAGAGTTTATTAGCACCATAATCCATAGTACAGTGTCCTAGTCTGTTGGCTGCGCACTCTGGAATGAATATACAGTTTGTATTTAGCATGAAAGTACACCTTTTCCCATATTACTAGCCGCAGAGAATTAGTGTCTGGGCATTGCTATGCATGGGATACCAGACTGTGGAGTGAGTCCCCATCTTCTTCGTGTCCATGATGGACCAGCAAATGACCCATCATTGGAGTTGAGAGATGTTTGGACTGACTGGTATGCAGTTGTCTGAGTTACTTAGAAAGAAAGAGAGAGCGAGAGAGAGAAAGGAAGAAAAGGAAAGGAAAGAAAGAAAAGACAAGGGAGGTTGAGGTAGAGGGCCCTCTTGAGCAGAGGCACCTCTTGGGGAATAGTGTTCCTGCACCTGTGAGCGCGTCCTTGCAACTGGGCCTGGCTCCCTATTTCACTGGAAGGCTACTGAGGTAGCCTACTGGGTACTGAGCTGATGAAACCCTCCGCCTTAGTCAGCACTGGCCCTTCACGCCACTGCGTTGTTTGCTTGTGTCAGCAAGGGCCTTTGAAAAGCATAATGCTGTGTGACTTTGATTTCTGGCTGCCTCTGTATGCCTGTGTAATTACTTTATAGCTTTGAAAAACCATCTCAGGGTTGTTTAGCTAGTGATACACCAAACCCAGAGTGAGGAGTTTAAGATTTTATGAAGGAAGGAAATGGATCCCCAGCTGACTAGATCATCTTTAATGTTTAGAAGCCTTTGTACATCACTTTTAAAAAAGTGGGCATGGTTTCAGTGTTGGAAATCATGATAGCTAACGTTTACTGAATAGTAATGCTGGCTGGGCTGTGTTCTAAGAGCATCACGTATGCTGAATATCTTCTCACAACGTGAATATACATGCTTGTGATCTCCATTTTAGGTGATGAAATCAGGGTAAAGAGAATTTACCTAAAGCAAGATTGCATGGCCAGTAAGTGGTAAAAGGAGTCTGGCCCAGAGCCTAGATTTTAACCATAAAGTAACAATTCCTTATGTAAGGAGCTCCCTGGGTTTAGTATAAGCTTATGTTCGCTTTTAAAGTTACTTGATCCCGAATGCATTAAAAGAATCTAGGTAGCACCTTGGAGTAACCCAGATTGGGAACTGTGATGCCTGGGTTTGCCTTCTGGTTTTGCCGACTAGGCAGCCCTTAGTAAATTACGATAGCCAACCTCCCGACCCCCGCCCCTTATCCCAGGGGTGTACTAGCCAAGACCCTCAGTGGACGCCTGAAACTGGAGATTGTCCTGAACCCTGTACATTCTGTTTTTTTCTATATGTATATATCTGTTATTAAGTTTAATTTATAAATTAAGCTCAGAGATTAACAACAAATAGTAATAATAAAATAGACCAGTCATGAGACTATCCTATAATAAAAATTATGTGAATACGGCCTTTCTGTCTCTCAGAATATCTTGTCCCATACTTCTCGTGATGATGAGAGATGATGATAAATGCCTACGAGGTGAGTTGAAGTGAGGG